TAACACGCTCATGCACGCTTGCTAGAAGTCCCAAGCCCCTTGCCCACAAAAACCTCCTTTACCCCTCTTTCCAACCCTTTCGAGGACGACCTCTACCCCTCCTTCCTTCTCCTATAGATTTATATGCTTTCCATGTCATTCTACTTTGATCCATTCTCTCTAAATTACCAAACCACCTCAACAACCCCTCTTCTGCCCTCTGACTAATGCTTTTATTAACTCCACACCTTCTCCTAATTTCCACACTCCGAATTTTCTGCATAATATTTACACCACACACATTGCCCTTAGACAGGACATCTCCACTGCCTCCAACCGTCTCCTCGCTGCTGCATTTACCACCCAAGCCTCACATCCATATAAGAGTGTTGGTACTACTATACTTTCATACATTCCCTTCTTTGCCTCCATAGATAACGTTTTTTGACTCCACATATACCTCAACGCACCACTCACCTTTTTTCCCTCATCAATTCTATGATTAACCTCATCCTTCATAAACCCATATATATATATTTATATATATAATATATATATATATATATATATATTATATTAATATATTATATATATATTATATATATAATATATATAATATATATATATATATATATAATATATATATATATTATATATATATATTATATATATATATATATATTATATATATATTTTTTTTTTTTTTTTTTTCAACAAGTCGGCCGTCTCCCACCGATTTATTTTTTTTATTATCACACTGGCCGATTCCCACCAAGGCAGGGTGCACCACTCACTCTTTTCCCCTCATCAATTCTATGATTCACCTCATCTTTCATAGACCCATCCGCTGACACGTCCACTCCCAAATATCTGAATACATTCACCTCCTCCATACTCTCTCCCTCCAATCTGATATTCAATCTTTCATCACCTAATCTTTTTGTTATCCTCATAACCTTACTCTTTCCTGTATTCACCTTTAATTTTCTTTTTTGCACACCCTACCAAATTCATCCACCAATCTCTGCAACTTCTCTTCAGAATCTCCCAAGAGCACAGTGTCATCAGCAAAGAGCAGCTGTGACAACTCCCACTTTGTGTGTGATTCTTTATCTTTTAACTCCATGCCTCTTGCCAAGACCCTCGCATTTACTTCTCTTACAACCCCATCTATAAATATATTAAACAACCACGGTGACATCACACATCCTTGTCTAAGGCCTACTTTTACTGGGAAAAAATTTCCCTCTTTCCCTACATACTCTAACTTGAGCCTCACTATCCTCGTAAAAACTCTTCACTGCTTTCAGTAACCTACTCCTACACCATACACTTGCAACATCTGCCACATTGCCTCCCTATCCACCCTGTCATACGCCTTTTCCAAATCCATAAATGCCACAAAGACCTCTTTAGCCTTATCTAAATACTGTTCACTTATATGTTTCACTGTAAACACCTGGTCCACACACCCCCTACCTTTCCTAAAAGCCTCCTTGTTCATCTGCTATCCTATTCTCCGTCTTACTCTTAATTCTTTCAATTATAACTCTACCATACACTTTACCAGGTACACTCAACAGACTTATCCCCCTATAATTTTTGCACTCTCTTTTATCCCCTTGCCTTTATACAAAGGAACTATGCATGCTCTCTGCCAATCCCTAGGTACCTTACCCTCTTCCATACTTTTTATTAAATAATTGCACCAACCACTCCAAAACTATATCCCCACCTGCTTTTAACATTTCTATCTTTATCCCATCAATCCCGGCTGCCTTACCCCCTTTCATTTTACCTACTGCTCACGAACTTCCCCCACACTCACAACTGGCTCTTCCTCACTCCTACAAGATGTTATTCCTCCTTGCCCTATACACGAAATCACAGCTTCCCTATCTTCATCAACATTTAACAATTCCTCAAAATATTCCCTCCATCTTCCCATACCTCTAACTCTCCATTTAATAACTCTCCTCTCCTATTTTAACTGACAAATCCATTTGTTCTCTAGGCTTTCTTAACTTGTTAATCTCACTCCAAAACTTTTTCTTATTTTCAACAAAATTTGTTGATAACATCTCACCCACTCTCTCATTTGCTCTCTTTTACATTGCTTTTACCACTCTCTTAACCTCTCTCTTTTTCTCCATATACTCTTCCCTCCTTGCATCCTTCTACTTTGTAAAAACTTCTCATATGCTAACTTTTTCTCCCTTACTACTCTCTTTACATCATTCCACCAATCGTTCCTCTTCCCTCCTGCACCCACTTTCCTGTAACCACAGACTTCTGCTGAACACTCTAACACTACATTTTAAACCTACCCCATACCTCTTCGACCCCATTGCCTATGCTCTCATTAGCCCATCTGTCCTCCAATAGCTGTTTATATCTTACCCTAACTGCCTCCTCTTTTAGTTTATAAACCTTCACCTCTCTCTTCCCTGATGCTTCTATTCTCCTTGTATCCCATCTACCTTTTACTCTCAGTGTAGCTACAACTAGAAAGTGATCTGATATATCTGTGGCCCCTCTATAAACATGTACATCCTGAAGTCTACTCAACAGTCTTTGATCTACCAATACATAATCCAACAAACTACTGTCATTTCGCCCTACATCATATCGTGTATACTTATTTATCCTCTTTTTCTTAAAATATGTATTACCTATAACTAAACCCCTTTCTATACAAAGTTCAATCAAAGGGCTCCCATTATCATTTACACCTGGCACCCCAAACTTTACCTACCACACCCTCTCTAAAAGTTTCTCCTACTTTAGCATTCAGGTCCCCTACCACATTACTCTCTCACTTGGTTCAAAGGCTCCTATACATTCACTTAACATCTCCCAAAATCTCTCTCTCTCCTCTGCATTCCTCTCTTCTCCAGGTGCATACACGCTTATTATGACCCACTTCTCGCATCCAACCTTTACTTTAATCCACATAATTCTTGAATTTACACATTCATATTCTCTTTTCTCCTTCCATAACTGATCATTTAACATTACTGCTACCCCTTCCTTTGCTGTAACTCTCTCAGATACTCCAGATTTATCCCATTTATTTTCCCCCCACTGAAACTCTCCTACCCCCTTCAGCTTTGTTTCGCTTAGAGCCAGGACATCCAACTTCTTTTCATTCATAACATCACAATCATCTGTTTCTTGTCATCCCACTACATCCACGCACATTTAAGCATCCCAGTTTTATAAAGTTTTCTTCTTCTCTTTTTAGTAAATGTATACAGGAGAAGGGGTTACTAGCCCATTGCTCCCGGCATTTTAGTCGCCTCATACGACACGCATGGCTTACGGAGGAAAGATTCTTTCCACTTCCCCATGGACAATAGAAGAAATAAAAAAAACAAGAGCTATTTAGAAAAAGGAGAAAAACCTAGATCTTTCTTCTTTTTCAACATAACCAGCCGTATCCCACCGGGGGTGGGGTGGCCCAAAGAAAAAACTGAAGTTTCTTTCCTTTTAAATTTAGTAAATATACAGGAGAAGGGGTTACTACCCCTTGCCTCCCGGCATTTTAGTCGCCTCTTACGACACGCATGGCTTACAGAGGAAGAATTCTGTTCCACTTCCCCATGGAGATAAGAGGAAATAAACAAGAACAAGAATTAGAAAGAAAATAGAAGAAAACCCAGAGGGGTGTGTATATATATGCTTGTACATGTATGTGTAGTGTGACCTAAGTGTAAGTAGAAGTAGCAAGACTTACCTGTAATCTTGCATATTTATGAGACAGACAAAAGACACCAGCAATCCTACCATCATGTAAAACAATTACAGGCTTTCGTTTTACACTCACTTGGCGAGACGGTAGTACCTCCCTGGACGGTTGCTGTTTACCAACCTACTACCTACAAAAAACCTAGATGTATGTATATATATATATATGCATGTGCGTGTCTGTGAAGTGTGACCAAAGTGTAAGTAGGAGTAGCAAGATATCCCTGTTATCTAGCGTGTTTATGAGACAGAAAAAGAAACCAGCAATCCTACCATCATGCAAAACAGTTACAGGTTTTTGTTTCACAGTCATCTGGCAGGACGGTAGTACTTCCCTGGGTGGTTGCTGTCTACCAACCTCTACCTCTACCTCTCCATGCATTCACTCAACATTTCCCAAAATCTCTCACTACACTTCTCTCTTCTCCAGGTTCATATATGCTTACTATAACCCACTTTTCACATCCAACCTTTATTTTACTCCACATAATCCTTTATAGTTCCTCTTTCCTGCCATAACTTATCCTTCAACATTATTGCTTCTCCTCCTTTAGCTCTAACTCTATTTGAAACCCCTGACCTAATCCCATTTATTCCTCTCCATTGAAACTCTCCCTCCCCCTTCAGCTTTGTTTCACTTAAAGCCAGGACATCCAGCTTCTTCTCATTCATAACATCCACAATCTTCTCTTTCTTATCATTTGCACAACATCCACGCACATTCAGACTTTCCACTTGACAGTTTTCTTCTTATTCTTTTTACTAATTATCACAGGAAAGGGGGTTACTAGCCCATTGTTCCCGGCATTTTAGTTGACTTTTACAACACGCATGGCTTACGGAGGAAAGATTCTTATTCCACTTCCCCATGGATATAAAAGTAAAAGTAATAAGACCAAGAACTATTAAGATAAAATTAAAGAAAACTCAGATGAGTGTGTATAAATAAACATGTACATGTATGTGTAGTGTGACCTAAGTGTAAGTAGAAGTAGCAAGACGTACCTGTAATCTTGCATATTTATGAGACAGACAAAAGACACCAGCAATCCTACCATCATGTGAAACAATTACAGGCTTTAGTTTCACACTCACCTGGCAGGACAGTAGTACATCCCCTGGGTGGTTGCTGTCTACCAACCTACTACCTATATATGTATGTATGTAATTTTTTTTTTTTTTGTCGGCCCAGGAACTTTTTGATAGCACCTGATATGGTAATGCACAGACTATACAATAATCCATAGGCATTCTACATATGTAACTTCTTTCAGATATTGAGGCTGTACCTGAGGAGATGGTGTGCAAAATCTGCATGGATAGTATAATTGATTGTGTTCTACTAGAATGTGGACATATGGTAGCTTGTACCCAGTGTGGGAAACAGATGTCAGAGTGCCCTGTTTGTCGCCAGTACGTTGTTCGTGTTGTTCGCACTTTCAGGGCCTAAAGAACTGATATTCACTATTGGACCTTTCACTTTGGCCTTAGTATTTTAATTGATAAGTATTAATATTCTTTGGGGACTCCAAATAAATTCTGTGTTTTTTTAGTTGTGGGGATATGAAATAAAGGTAATTTTTATTGAATTTTGCACACTTGATGTTTCCTGATGTGTTATGATGCATATATAGTAATTGCTGTAGAAATGAAAGGATGAATGAGCTTGGAAATGGGACATCATAAAGAATACAGATTTAGGTAATAGGTTGTGGATTTGGTGTAGTAATTATGGTCGCATGGAAAAGGATTAGTTTGTATTTAGTAAATATAAATTCTGTTTATTTTAATCTGTAAATTTAGTAAAAAACAAAAAGATTGAAAAATGTAAAAATCCTAACTGAATAACATGGATGTAAATGGTATTGGTGATGCTGACAGACTAAAATGCTGTGCACACATTTATTCATAAATGTCCTGAACCGTACGCAAGTGTCCTTTTCCAGTGAATTTGGAGTTTTCAAAGGGGGATAATTACTTATGATGAATTCTTTATATATTTTAAAACCAGATATGTAAGTACATACTTTTTGTCATTAACATCTTAAGAACTAGCTGTGCATGCTTGAATTTCTCAAGTTTCTTGAAAAATAATTAAAATGTCACTTTATCAATAGGTACAGTACTAAAAATTGTCAGTTTATGTAAATACCTTCTGACAAACATTGTTTATTGTAAACATTTACTGTTTCTCATTGGTATGTAATGTTTTACCAAATTGTTCAGTTATGACCAAGTGCAGAGGAACTAAGTGTGATTTGTAAGTAAAATGTTGTGATCAGACATTCTCAGTGCCAGTTAAGTGTGGTAATGTATGTGAATGGTATATAATACCCGTAAGTTGCAGAATTAGGCACATGCAACATGTGGGTGTGTGTATTTGTAGAAGTTTCACCATCCAGTGGCTTTAATCAATACAATACAGTGACATAATGTGAAGAAAGTAGAACTGTATAGAAAAGATTAGGTAATCAGTCCCTCAAGACTGTGGTGCTCTTCAGTTCAAAGGTTGAGGGACTGATTACCTCATCTTTTGTATATAGTTCTACTTTCTTCAGATTATATCCTTGTATTGATAAAACCACTGGATGGCAAAACTTCTATAAATAAAGATACCCAAATGTTATACATGTCAAATTCTTCAGTGTGGTAGTACATTTTCCTCTCATTGCACCTACTAATTCACTTGGTCAATTGATGTTTAACACCTTACATTCAGCAATTTTTAAACTTGCATTAGCTGTTTCAAGACTACTATAAAATCTTCAACCTTTATCAATTACTGTGCAGCCAGATTTTGTAAGACCTTTTTTTTTTCCAGATGTTTACTTCAGATATACAGCATTAATATAATACTCAAGCTCATTGAGAACTTGATTGTCAGTTTTCATATTTTGCTCAGTCAGCATTCTTCATCTTGCTTTAGTTTCTGAAAATATTTTAATTGTAATGTATTATTTCTCTGTAATGAAATTGTGTGGAATACTAGTGCATATATAAAACTTCTGAGACTTTATTTTTCCAAAGTGAGGTTGCAACTTGCCTACTTAAGTTTGAAATGTTTTGTTTTATTCTGGCCCTGATAAACAGGGGATGGTATTCACTCTGAAGGCATAAATTGCCAATTTCTGTAAATTTTTAATTTGTTTGAATTGTTCAGACTAACCTGTGCACATAAAAAAAAAGAGCTAGTACTTTGTGGTTTATGAAGTTTTAACTGAATTTTGTATAGATGAATGATTGATACAAAGAGTTTATACCTCAGTTTAGCATGTGTAGTAATCTTTGTTTGGACTTGAGAGGTTTATTGTTGAGTTGATTGATTAATGCATTCGCTTTAGTGTTGCAACACTAGGGAAGACTTACTTTTATTAAAAAATACAAGTGTAAGTGGTATAATATATTAAAGAACATCATCCAATGTGGCAGTTAGTTGTTTATTGATAAGTGAGCTACAGAAAGTACTCTATATATACAGCATTTTCCAGCCTTCTAACCCCCCCCCCCCCAAAAAAAAATACTTTTGATTTTGAAATGAAGCTAATTTGGCTTGCAGGAAATGTCTTTTGTTTTACTTTGTACTACAATATTGTGCATGTCGTATTTAACATTTCTGGAAAAGTGCAGTGAAGAATTTTCAAATACACAGTTAATTTTCTTTTTCATGTTTCTCTGTGACTATGTAAACTTGGAAGTTGATAACTTTTACCACACAAGTCCCTCCCATAATGTGTATATAGTCTGAATAATAAACATTACATGCATATTTTGACCATAATTTAGTTTCTCCTTGGGTATACTGTGATTGGATAATACCATAATTATTCAGTTTTACAACAAAATTGTATTAAAATTCATCTTTTAAACACACCATTTTTTTTTTCTTTTAATGTTTGGAAAATGCTCATTTATTAAATTGTCCTACCAGAAGTGCTGAGGCAATACTCTGACCTGCAGAATCCTTGCACTCTGAGAGTGTACGTACTGTGCTTCCCACCTCCAGGAACTGGCTGATCAGATTGTCCTGAAACCCTTCATAAATATTGCAGATATTTTGTACAAGAAAGTTTTGGCTTTGAGCCATCTTTGTTGTGGGATATATCTTGCCATTGCTTTCCCTCCAAACCAATTCAATGTGCTCATAGACCTACTTTTACCTCAGTTTCAAATACCCTCCTGCAGCTTGCCTGCCTCCTTTTTCTCGGTCCTTAATCCCTACCATCCAGCTCACCCAGCACTTTCCTGCCACTTCTAGGAGGTTAGTGGCAGAGGTTCTCAAGCCCATGCTTCTTCCCACTCCTCAAGTATCCCAGGTCTTTTACAGTCCACTCTAATGATTACATTGAAATCTTGATCCTTCCAGTGTCCCTTATATCTTGCTTTATCCTTCAGTGCTTTTCTAAAACCAATCCTCCTTCCTTCCCTTTCCCTACCTAAATGAAGGGGCAAGGAAAGAGGTTACACCCATTTCACTCCCCATGTCAATTTCTATACAATTTTTATTTCTTTGCAAAAGTTACGATGTGTGATTTACATGTTATAAAATGTTAAGTACAAAGAAAGCCAGTAACATGCCTGAGCATTTTGGGCAGAGTAATCCTAATGTTTATGCACTACTTATAACCAGACATAGGTTATAGGGTGATAAATTTTTATTATTCATTATTTTACCTTATTACTAAAGTGAGGTAGACAAAAACAACGAACAAGACTCCAGGTCTCCTCTAAGACAGCGATTCCTCCAAAGATTTTGAGTAAAAGTTCACACACTCAAATGCATTAAACCCTGTTATGATGCCAGACAGTGATTATGTATGAGTGATGGTGAAAGTGTTGAATGATAATGAAAGTTTTTTCTTTTCTTTTTGGGTCCCCCTGCCTTGGTGGGAAATGGCCAACATGTTACAAAAAAAAAAAAAAAGTTGGTTAACAAGTTTGGTAGGGTATGTAAAGGAAGGAAATTAAAAGTGAATATAGGAAAGAGTAAGGTGATGAGGATAAAAAAAATTAGGTAATGGAAGATTGGATATCAGATTGAAGGGAGAAAGTATGGAGGAGGTGAATGTATTCAGATATTTGGGAGTGGATGTGTCAGTAGATGGGTCTATGAAAGATGAGGTGAATCATAGAATTGATGAGGGGGAAAAGGCGAGTAGTGCACTGAAGAGTCTGTAGAGACAACGTTATCCATGAAAGCAAAGAGGGGAATGTATGAGGGTATAGTTATACCATCGCTCTTGTATGGGTGTGAGGCATGGGTGGTGAATGTTGCAACAAGAAGGCTGGAGACAGTGGAGATGTCATGTCTGAGGGCAATGTGTGGTGTGAATATACAGTAATGTAGAGAATCTGAAGTTGGGAGATTAGAAGGTGCGGGATTACCATAACTATTACCCAGAGGGCTGAAGAGAGGTTGAGATGGTTTGGGCATGTACAGAGGATAGAATGACATAGAATGATTTAGTGTATAAATCTGTAGTGGAGGGAAGGTGAGGTAGGGGTCAGCCTAAGAAAAGTTGGAGGGAGGGGGTAAAGGAGGTTTTGTGTGCGAGGGGCTTGGACTTCCAGCAAGCGTGCATGAGCATGTTAGATAGGAGCGAATGGAGACAAATGGTTTTTAGGACTTGACGTGCTGTTGGAGTGTAGGCAAGGTAACATTTATGAAGGGATTCAGGGAAACCAGCAAGTTGGACTTGATTCCTGGAGATGGGAAGTACAGTGCCGACACTCTGGAGGAGGGGTGTTTTTGTTGTAGTTTTATAACTGTAGTGTCAGCATGCCTCTGGCAAAACAGTGATGGAGTGAATAATGGTGAGTTTTTCTTTATTGGGCCACCCTGCCTTGGTGGGCCACCCTGCCTCAGTGGGAAACGGCTGATGTGTTAATAAAAAAAAAAAAAATAATTTGTGGGTTATCTGTGAACCCACCACCTTGTACTGTCTACCTTGCTGAGTGTCTTGCTTCGCTCACTGTCTTACCTATAGTATATTTCAGGCTTCTTAAATCTCCCAAGTTCAACACCTTGACCTAGTGAACAAGTTAATCGAACTAAAAAAAAAAAAAAAAACACCCATCCAAGGAGGTACTACCATCCTGTCAAACGAGTGAAATGGAAAGCTGTTTGTTTGCACTTTGGCAGGATTGCTGATCTTTTCTGTCTAATGAACAGGTAAATTTTACAAACTTCTATTTACATTCAATATACAGTGGACCCCCGGTTTACGATCAGCTCCCAATGCGACCAATTATGTAAGTGTATTTATGTAAGTGAGTTTGTATGTGTATGTTTGGGGGTCTGAAATGGACTAATTTAATTCACAATATTCCTTATGGGAACAAATTCAGTCAGTACTGGCACCTGAACATACTTCTGGAATGAAATAATATCGTAAACCAGGGGTCCACTGTATACATAAAGCCCTTTACTTTCCTATATGCTTCTTAATACTATACTTAATCTTGTAGTACAGTATTTCATTGCTAACCTAGGAGGCCTAGTCAGAGAGAGGCTACAGAAAAGGCAATCCCCAGAACTAATAACACACATCTGTCCTCCTGGAAGTGCAGGCCTCTGAGAAAAAAAAAGTGATCACATTAAGCATTGAAACCCAGATACTCTCAATGAAAAATACTGTAGATAAAAATCCCATAGACTGCAAAAAAAACTGTTTCGTTATCTAATCTACTTGGTAAACACGTTGATCAACTCTAGCATCAGCTAGCTGAGTTAGTAATAAACTGTATGATAAAGCAGCCTTGATACTGTTAAGGCTCTTTATCAAAGAATTTGCCCTTGCCTCCATTTCCTAGGACTGTATGTACCTGATTGCCTCCTAGTCTTTCAGTGACTGTATGACCCCTATGGGTTTTGCACTACCCCTAAACCCCTGTGAAGGTAATAAAAAATAATGCCATAAAGAGCCCAGTGTTCCACAAACTATCTCACAAGAGCCCTATCATAAACACTTTTAAATGTAATTCAAGAAGAGTTGACTGTAATTATCTTGTAACCAAAAGTGCAATCATGTTAGGCAAACCCAAAGTTAACTTTAGTCTTGAGATTTCATAACCTCTCAATAAGGAAAGATTAAATTCTGTCTTCTTTAAATCAGGAAAGAGAAATTTCTGCAAAAACACTGCCTTGCAAGAAGACCCAGGTTCAATTCCCTGAAACATGCATGCTAGGGAATTGAACCTGGGGCCTAGTGATTGTGAGACTAATGCTCTCGCCAGTGAGGTATACAGTGAAATGTCTAGCGTAGGTAAAAATATAAGGTCCTGTTCCAGCCTAAGAGACAACAAGTATAAACCTCTAAGCTACATGTATTGAGATGTACCTGCCTAACTAGAGATTAACTAGCCATGTTTTGCTCTTGTACCCCTCAAAGGAGGTTCCTTGATGCTATAATATCTATTTCTACAAGTACATGTACAAGGTATACAGGCCTAGCTGACATCAATGACATACTACTATATAAAAAGTCGCTTGTTATGCTGAGCATTTCAGGCAAATTAGGTCAGTTTTGTCTCAGGATGTGACCCACACCAGTCGACTAATACCCAGCTACCCATTTTACACTGATGGGTGAACAGGGAGAGCAGGTGTCTTACGGAAACACATCCCTAGTGTTCTCCAGCCATACCAGAGATTTGAACTCCAGAACTCAGTGTGTGAGCTGGTGAGGATCCTTTGATCTAGGGAATTGGATCTGTGTTCCAGTTCCCTGAATTGAGCCTGAATACCTCCCATCCTCCCCACAGGCGCTGTATAATCTCTGGGTTTAGCACTCCCCATGATTATAGTAATAATCTCTTACTGTAACATTTTTATACTAGCTTCATAAGGTATTTAGTCCCGTTGAAAGGCTTGTAATTATCTCGTATTCCCCAGGCACTGCAGTATTTAACCCTATAAGTTTAGTGCTACCTCCTAAATATTTTTTATTAGTCAAAGCTCTTCTTCTTTTTTTTTTTTTTTTTTTTTTTTTTTTTTAACGTGACAAAGTACATCCGTAAGTGAACAGCATACGGAAAGGCCTTCATAGTATACCCCCTCAAGGAAGGTTCCTTGATGTTGGTGAGGGGCTCTTGATTTAGGGAATTGGATCTGTGCTCCAGTTCCCCGAATTAAGCCTGAATGCCTTCCACATCCCCCCCCCCAGGCGCTGTATAATCCTCTGGGTTTAGCGCTTCCCCCTTGATTATAATAATAATAATTCATAGTATACTATCAAATCTTGGACGTACAGCCTCTGCTCACTTAGCGACGTACATGTTTACTGTCGACTCGGACTAACGACTGACTGACCAGTATGCCTACCTAAATAATTTGTATTAGAGCTGATTTCCTCTTACGACCTGCTCGACATACGACCATTCGACTTACGACCGTGTTTTTTATGCCAAATTTCTGGCAAATAAACAACTGTTTGTGTTGTACACAGCGTTTATCCTAAACCTTACAGTATAAAATGCAGTACTAACAGCATAAAAAGTAAAGTAAAAAATGAAATGCCAAAATAAAACAATAAAATAGTCATTACAAAAATGTGGTGTTGATATTCTGTAGTAAGGTTCGACTTACGTCCATTTCGACTTACGACCGGTTTGTATCCCATGGATATAAAAGGAAAAATAATAAGAACAAGAACTATAAAGATAAAATAAAACTCGGATGAGTGTGTATAAATAAACGTGTACATGTATGTGTAGTGTGACCTAAGTAGAAGTAGCAAGACGTACCTGTAATCTTGCATATTTATGAGA